TCCTCTTACTTGAAAAAAATACTTTCCACAATGGCTACTGCTAATATCTTCAATCAAGTGAAACAAGCAATCGAAACTGGTACCAGAGAAGTTCGTCATTTGGCGACCGAAGTAGGAAACGAAGTGAAAAAGACGGCCGATAATAACAAGGTCAATTCACCTTTACCCGCGGACGTTGGTTCTGAAATTCAAAAAGTTGCCACTATTCTAACTGGCTTCACTGGTAAGTTTGGGTATACATTGCAATGCGTGACTAGTCTATCGTTTCTTTGTTAAACGTAGAACTATGAATGAGTATCAGAACAGCAAAGAGAATAACAATATCGTTTTATTATTTTTCTTCACATTAGACCCAACTAATGCAGAGGGCGGTCTTGATAATGTCATACCAGCAGAGGTTATTAAAAATGCGAAAGGTCTCGCTGTATTCACTGTCGTCAAAGCTGGTTTCGTATGGTCGGGAAGAGTAGGGTCTGGATTGGTTATTGCTAGATTAGAAGACGGAAGTAAGTATATTTGTATTATTCGCTTTTTTGCGATGATTGAAAGTAAACGTTCGATGTCTTTTCTTTTCCTTCCAATTATAGGTTGGTCTGCTCCATCGTCCATCAACATTGGTGGTGTGGTATGTATTGATTCCGAAGATCTTTACGTATTTATTTCAATGTCACATACTCTTACATATTCACGTTTCCCTGGGATAGGGTTTCGGCATGCAAGTAGGCGCTGACGTAACCGATTTCGTGATCGTTCTTAATACACCCGAGGCAGTCAAAGCCTTTAGTCGTGGCGAGAACTTGACACTCGGTGGCAATCTATCAGGTGACTATCATTTGAAAAGAAGAAAGGTCCTCTCCACTTTAACGAATACTCACATGTGTTTCCCATTCCTGTATAATTAGTATCTGCTGGTCCTGTTGGCATTGGCGGAGAAGTCTCTGGAAGCGTGGTTGAACGTGCTGCTTTGTGGTCATATAGTAAATCAAAGGGACTCTTTGCTGGTAAGTATCAGCATTCAAACTCTAAATTATCTATGAATTGTAATCAAGTGTATGTGTTGTCGGTTTCTTAATTAAATCTGGCTTTTTTTTTAATACTTTCAGGCATATCTGTTGAGGGTACCGTCATAATCGAGCGTAAAGACGCCAACAAGAAATTCTACGGACGAGACGTTACCGCAACGCAAATTCTCTCGGGTGAGGTTGAAACTCCACCGCTCGTAGCCAACATCCTTTACGAAGTCATCAAACGCGCCGAATCACGCAAGACAGCAGAAGAAGAAGCAGCTGCCCCCCCGTCTTAAGT